GGGCTCCAGCGTGCGCCTCGCTGCCCCGGTCCCGCTCGCCTGCCGCACTTATCTGGCTCATCTCGGCCACATCCTGTTGGCGCTGCCTGGAAGTAGCTGCACCCAGTGGGGAAGCTGCGGTGGCCTCCCTGGAGGCCGCGCGACTTGGATGGAAGTCGGTCACGTGGCCTGCGGGGACTGATTTAAAGGCCAGCTGAAGGGAGCCGTCGCCACCGAGGTCGTCCATGGCGGCCTGCTCCTCCCCGCCGCTTCCTGCGCTGGCCGGCGCCGCGGCGGGACGCTCCGTGCCGTGGGGAAGGGGGAAGCACGAGCGCTCCTCGTAGCGCAGCTGTGCGGTGCTGGGGGACGCGCGGGGAAGCGCTCGAGGACGGCGCGCGCCGCCGCCACTCCCGTTCCTTGGGTTTCTGAGTCAGCTGCTGCCCTGCTGCAGCCCATATGGGATCCGCTCAAAGGCGTCTGCGTGCAGAGTCGAGCCTGACTCATCCCATCCGATGCAAGGGGCTCGCTGAGGGGGTCACACTGAGCGGATTGAACCTGGCGATGCTGTGGCCATCCCTTAGGGGGATGTGGTGCAGGGGACTGAACTAGTCTCACTAGCGCCCTGAAGTGAGTCCAGCAAGCGAATGGGGTGTTGCGGCTTTGCTCGATGCCCCAGCTCGTGTTGGTGGTGTCCATTTGGCACGACACGCCCAAGAGTGAGCGGGATGCCCCTGTGTGGCCCATGCTTCCAGCAGAAGAAAGAACGGAATGTCTGATTGCAAACCCACCCGAGAGAAGCAGCCAGAAGTCAAAGCAGCAGAGACAGGTCCTGAAATAGAAAAGGCCTTCCTGGGACACTCCCAATAAGTATGAAACTGAAGGGAGGCAGCAGTGGGGCAGCTGATGTCCCTCCTGTCCCACAGAGTGGGCTGCTAAGGAGCATCCCGTGTGCGGGTGCATGGCGGGATGCAGAGGGCGGCAGGAGCTCAGGGCCGCTGAAAGCAGCCCCCAGACGCGGCTCTGGGCAAGGGGCTCCCGGCTGCTGTCACCTGGGGTGGCCCTAAAGGCGATTGCTCCTCCTGGGAATTTGTCTGGCTGCGGCGGCCTGATCCTATAGCTCCAGGGGCAGGAGGCTCCCAGCTTCCTTGCCATGTGCCCAGGGGTGTTCATAGACAGGCAGACTGGAGGTATTTATGGATGGGAGTCTGCAAGGGAGGGAAAAGCAGCGCCTTTTAGAGCAGGCTTTAAATTGTGTAGCCGAAAGCAGCGTTTGACAGCGACACGGCTACAGTCCTGTTAACAAAGTGCCCAGACCTGGGGCTCATGAAGGAGGACAAGCTGCCGCCCTGCATGCAGTGAGGCCCTGAGGCTGGTGAAGTTGTTTCATGCCGTGGGGAGCAGCAGTATAACCGTGGCATCAGAGCTATGCAGCTTTCCTTTTTTAATTTTCTCTTCTGGGCCCTGCATTGCCTAAGTGCCTCTTCTCTTCCTGTCCGGCCCACTTGACGTATAGCGACCGGGGGCTGAGGGGAAGTGGGAAGGGTGTCTCCGACAGTTTTCCTCCCCCATCCCCTTGCGTGGCTTTTTAAAAGGTTTGCTGGTGGGAAGGGGGAAATCCAAACTGGAATGCTACCTCTGCAAGCCCAGGAGGCACAGGTAAGCTCTACAGTGCTGGGATAAGGCTGGATTTCACCTATGTGACTTGCGGCTGAATGGAGAAGCTGGAGGACGTTCTGCTCCAGGCCGTGTGTCCTGGCTGCCTCGGAGCTGGAGGAGGTCACTGGTTACCCCGGGGAGCTCCTGCTCCTGCAGCCAGCTCACGTGGGCCGCTGAGCCGGGGACAAAGGGCCGATTGTGCCCCCGGGAGGGTGCTGGGTGGGATGCATCGCTCCCGGCCTCCCGCGCCTCCCCGGGGCACTGCGGGATGCGACGGGCGCTCCGGGTGCCCCAGCGGTGCTGAGGGTGGGAACGTTGTGGCCGTGAACTAAACCCATGAGGGGAAACATGGGTTCTCACGCTGCAGCCGCGTTGTGGTTGCCATAACCATTGCTCATTCCATGCTGGAGCGCTGGGAAGGAGGGGGCTGCCTCTGGAGAAGGCCCTTTCATGGTGCAAGGGACAGGGGAGCTGCCACCATGCCCCAGGTGGAGCGAGTTACTGAGTCAGGGGAAGGCTCCCACATCTCTCTGTCTGCTGTGACTCCTTGTTCCCTCCTGGCCCTACTTTGCCCTGTCTTTTCCCTCTGCTCTCTGGTGCCCGGTGCCAAAGCCATAGAGCTCCCTGCTCCAAGCAGCCTCCTGTGAAGGATGGTCCTTGGCCCTTTGAATCTGCCGGCAGATGTTTAAATGCTTAGGCTGTGGCTTCATCGCTGGCTGTTAGATCCATATTTGGTAGCAATAATTGTTTACTCCTTTCTCCTCTCTCCCTTCATGTCACTGCAGAGAAGGGGAGGGGACATATTTTTGGGATCTTTAACGTTGCTGGAATCTGCTGGTTTCCTGATAAAGGGTCTGGAGGACCCGGAAGGGTGAGAGATGAAGCAGGAGAGGGAACAGATTCTTCTGGAGCAGCAGATTTCAGCCTCGCTTCGCTGGCAGCCATCTAAAATGTGTGCCAACCAAGGCATGGACCTTGAGTGTTAGATTTAAGTTTCCTGGCATTAGACTCTTTGTTTTCGGTTACCCTTCGTTAACCCCTTTAAAGTAGTCCACAGATCTTGAGGTGAAAACCACTGAGTGGTAAAATAGCAACTCTTTGTGACGTGGCCTGCGGGCTGCTGGCTCGTGTCGTCAGTGAGGAAACAAGCAAGGTGGGCTGGCACACAGGGCAGCTGGACTTGGCT